GTAAAATTTTACAAGGAATTTTTTTATTTAGAGCCTCAAAAGTGGTTTTATAAGCAAAATTTTAAGATAATTTTACTACAGGTGATAATCACCTGTAGTATAAATTAGAAATTTTCTAGATATTATTATCATTTTAAAATATTTAATTAAATAATTTATATATTATGCAATATAACTCAAATTACATTAAATTGTATTAAATATCAAATCAAATATTTAAGAAACTCTATTGACTATTAACTAAAAAAAAATTTAATAAGTTAAAGATCTAGAAAAAAACCCAATATTATTAAAACAGATTGCTTCTAGATATAAACCAAATAAGTTTTTGTATTGATAAAAATATTGTAACTATAGATAAAAATAAATAATATACTATTTGTTAAATAGCTATTTCACAAAAACAGAATTGCTAAATTACAAATTTAATTAAATAGTAATTAAAGTAAATATATATTTGAAAATTATTTTTAAAAATTAATAATAGCTTTAGTAATTGGTTATATAATTATATATAATAAATTTAATACTATCAAATAACTTGGCTATAAAAAAAATAAATATATATATAAATACTGCTAAACTGTTAAAGTCCGAGAGACCAATTATTACGATGACGTTACACTTGATCTAACCAATAAGCATCAGTTATCGATCGGGTATACTATTACTCCGTTTGTAGTATCCTTCAGACAATAAACTTTTAACTATATTCTAAATCTAAAATTTATTATAGCTTTTAAAATATAAAAAATCTAAATTTTGTATATAATAATTTATAATATATATTCTTTAACTACAATCAACTACTTAAGTAAAGTTTTTTTATAGTAAAAGATGAAGATGATAATTTTAATATATATATATGTATATACTGTATAAAAATTTTAAAATAATTTTATACAGTATTTACTATTTTAAAGTATTAAGTTTTAGATTTAAAACAAGGCTAAAATACGTATGTACGTATATGTTTAAAAAAAGACAAACGTATAGCCAAAAATACTTAACTTTGTGCCATCCAAAGATTTATTTTATTTTATACGTATACATCGTATCAAATACCTAATACGTAAATATGTATAAAAAAATTAACGGGTTTAAATAATCTATTAACGTTAAAACATTAGCGCTAGCACTTTTTACAAACAAAATCTTGATATGTACGCACGATCTCATGATTTTTAAATAATTTAACTTTTTACAATTACGACTGGCAAATTATATTTTAAGAACGTGATTACAGTGTTAAAAAAATATTGAAATCTTGTTATCACCTATACTATATTCATAAAAAAAAATATTATTATTGGAAAAGTTTATATAAAGTTTAAAGCTATCGCTATTGTACTGTACGTATACCCTTAAAACTTTTACTATATATTTATTTTGTAAACTTAATTGGACTTCTTATGAATACATGAATAAATATACAAGGGTAAGGAATATATAGGTATTATGCGAACTATGTATTTAAAAAAAAAAACATGGTCACACATCATTCCTAATATCCACTTTCACCATAACACAATACTATATAGTACAGTATAAAAAACTTTTTTATTTTAAAATTATATATTTATAAATAAAATATAATATAATATACAGTATATACAGTATATATATATATATATATATATATATATATATTATATTTAATAATTAGATAAAAGGTTTTAACTTGCCGAACGACTATCATCTAGGGATGCATTTTAAAAAAGAAAAAAAAAAAGTTGTGAAATTTTAAGACCGAAACTTAAGTGCTCATATCAAAGAACCTTTAAAAGAATCACCAATGCCATAACGCATATACAGATGTAACTGTAATTTACGAGTGTGATTGAATATATGCGCGTAAATATGTGAAGACAAATATTTTAACGACAATATTTGATTAGACAAATGACCTAGTTGTTTTTTAATGTCCCTAAGAAGGTACTCTTTAGTCTACTCTGTGAGAAATGAAATGGGGATGAGCACAACTTTACTTGTGTTAGAAAATTTCTTATCAAGCTTATCAAAAACTTGATGATAGCTTATAAAAGATGCAATAAAAAAGATTCAAAAAAGATGTTAGCCCAATTCAGAATTAAAATTACTTAGTTGATAAGGTTCCCAATTCAAGGCATGCTATGTTCTGCTTCCTCAATTCGTAGAATTGAATTCACTCGTTTTTAAATTGAAGATACAAAATGAATGACTAATTCAAGACAGGCGATGTTCTCCTTATCGGATGTTTAGTCAACATGCGTATGCCTTAAAGAAAAACAATTACACTAATTGGAGAACAAAGTTTTTTGGGCTTTCCGAATCTTGACAGTGTAGAAGAATTAGAAAAAGGGGCCCTAGAAGTGCAGGTGAATACAGTGAAATGACCAAGGGCTACAAACTTGCGCCCTTTCATCTGCCGCACCGGTTAAATGAACAACGTCCTGGATTTAAAATTTCCAAATAGAGTAAGGAAAGTGTTATATGCCCCGCGCTATTGTAAAATTAAAAATTGAATAAAAATTTCGCGATTCATAAAATCCCGGTTCCTGTACAAGTTCTCTTATTTATTGATTACGTATTTGCTGCACAAATTTTTGACACAATTTTTTTAATCAACAAGTTAACGCCAATTGCATGATTATCACACATCATTCGCGTTAGATTTTTTTTTAATTCGAAAAATTACCTTGCATAAATATTGAAATTACCAAGGTGGTACGGTACTAGTAAAAATTACATCTCATGATTTTTGAATGTGTTTAAAACGCACGATCCTCGTTGATGCATTCGAAAAATAAAAGAGAAAATGAAACACCTGCACGAATTTGATTACGATTATACAAGTATCAATTAAATCGCAACTATGACGTATTTTAAACCATTTTGTGTGTCAAATGATATCATACGAAACCAACGCGTTCGAGATTAGTTAGTCACACGAGAACGCCAAATTACCAGACTCAATGAGTTATTGACAGAAGCATAAATGAAGTGACATTTTGAAAGTCAATTTTTGAATTGATATTTTTCCTTTAGGATGAACGTGATGATAATTCATCATGTGTTAATCTTAAAAAGAAAATAAATTTGTTTCTCCCTCGGATATAATAAATTTTGTTACGCCAAAGATACTCACGTTTTGTATAACTTTGATATTTCCTAAAGATTATTTTTAATTGGAAGATTTTTTTTTTTTTTTTTTTTTTTTTTTACAGAAATATGCTTATACGCCCAATATAATCTTACAATTCATTTGGCGCATTTTCTCGGTACGCTTTGTTCGACCGCCGGTAAACATTGCAGAAACTAGTACTATTTAAAGTGAATCAATCACTCGAGATGTACATTAAAGAACGATCTATACCATATATTTGAAACATAAAGATGAAGTTGACGCATGCGTTAGTTATATGTTTAACGATGATCTTTACACGCATAAATATGCTATATATGTATTTTAGTTACGCCATAAAGCAATATATGGCATACAGGTCTGATCGGATAGACGAATATTAATTCGATGATCGAATCATCAAAATAATCGTGGCTGGTAAGTTTCTTAAACGTCGCATTTTTGAGATTTTTTTTACGATATTGTTCACCATTGTGATCAATTTTATATTATCGTTATATTTAGATTCAGATAATTAATCAAAATTAAACAAAACATTACACAATATTATGCTAATGAAACATATTTTACCTTGATATTTGGTTCATGGAACGCAAAAAATTTGGTATTGGGGATTTCAATGATCATTAATAACTATTTTCTGATCATTTTGGTTATCCAAACTCATAGAAAAAAGAAAAAAAAAAAAAAGAAAGCTGCTAGTTTAAATTTGGAATAGTCCATTACGTAATGATTTTGTAATTGGAGATTTTAAGTAGAGATTCCGATGCATTGCAGAAATCTTACGTTTACGTGTTCGTGTTATTGGTTACAGTATAAGTCGAGTAACAAATGATTTTTGCGAATTGTGATAAGTTTTTGGTCCAAATTTTGTTTCTGGTTTTTTTAACCCTGAAAAATTTGTCAGTTTTTCCGGCCAAAATCGAGTCAATTATTTGTATCAACTCCGGACCCCATTATATCAAAAAAATAAAAAAAATAAAAAATAAAAAAAAATAAAAAAATAAAAAATAAATAACTAAATAAAATAAAGTAAAAGTTTTTTAATAAGTCTTTTGTGTATTTTTTTATTTTCATAATTTTTGTAAAGATTTTCTCATTAATAAATTGAAAATTAATATAGCGAAATAAAAAAAAAAAGTACTAATTACGCGTAATAGTTAAAGTATTTTTGTTAGAAAAAATTTTTTTTTGATTTCATAATTTTTTTTAGCTAAAAAAAAACGGGTTAATTGAAAATGCAGTTCTTAAAAGTTGGGTGGTGAAGGCGGAAGAACTCAATTATAATATATAATTGCTAAATCATAAAACGATAAAAATCTAAAAATTAGTCGATAAAATGAAAAATTTGAGCTCAAATGAATCGAAAGAAGTTTTTATCACACAAGGACTATTTACATAAAATAGAAGAAAAAAATTCACCGTTGGGAAGTTAGGAAAGATTAAAAGGAACAAAAAATATATATAATTAAAGTTTTTATATACATGGATTTTTTTGGCCGTATGTACGAAAGAAACCAGTAATGTGTTACTTGGTTCGATATCGATACATAAAAGTTGACCACAATGATTCGAAAATTTTGATTTTTTTTTTTTTTTTTTTTGTTTTAGTATTATCGTTAATTGTCTATATCTATATATTCGAAAGGTAGAAAATAATTTGTCCTAATTGGTTTTTTTTTGATTTTTTTTTGATTTTTTTTTTGATATTTTTTTTTGATATTTTTTTTTTGTTTTTTTTCGTGTTTTTTTTTTTCTTGTTTTTTGGATAATTATTTTTTTTTATAGATAATCATTTAGAAAGTATTCATAGTTGTGATCAAAGTTTATAGTTCCAAACCATAGTAACCACTTTTGTCGCTAGTGGTTCACACCCTTAAGGAATTCTATTATCAACATAGCTTTCTATTGGTGAAGTATCATATTTTCGTCTTGAATTTGATAAAGATTCTCCAACGGTAACAAGTTGTCCATTTCCGGTAGTATTTGTTGATAAAGATTCACTCTTACTTACTGAATTGTTGTTACATCCTTTAACGAGAATATGCCTCTTAAGTGCATCTTTGCGACTAAATTGTTTCTCACAATATGGGCAAGGATATGGCTTCACGGCCAAATGTATGCGTTTATGACGTTTAAGATCGTGATTGCGATTAAAACCTAATTATTATTTATTATTAAAGAAATTATTAGAGAGATATTATTAAAGATATTATTGAGAATAAAATAAAATAAATAGATAAATTTTCTAAATTAATAATATTTTGTTATAATATACTTACTTTGCGGACATTGATCACATTTGAACGGTCTATCATAAAGAGGCAAACGAGAATAATAACTTTTTGGTGGACCACTATATGAATATGTTGGTGTCGTTGGTGACGTAGACTTGGACGAAGAGTTCGAATGCGTCGTCGGAATCGTAATCGTAGTAGGTTGTTGTTTTGTTGTTGTCCAAGCTGATAATGCTGACGACGATAAGTTATTATTCGATTCAAACATTGGTAAATGCATAGTATTATTGCCATGACCGTCTGTATTCAATGTTTGAGCAATAGTTTGAGTAAATAATGGTGGTGCGATAGAACTGGTTATAGGCGAAGTTGTTGCAGAATTTGGCCGTGAATATGAATTCTGAGGACTTTGATGAATATTTGTATTTATCGTCCTCGGAATTGATTTTTGATGAATCGTAGAAGGCACAGCACCATTATAAATCGTTCTTTGAGGAATGAAATTATTATTACTATAATCAGTATTTGCTTGAGTTCCTTGACCATAACTATTGGCAGTAAGTAATTGCGAATTCATTCCAATAGTTCGTTGTGGTGGCATAATAGAAGTCTCATTATGAGGATGATGTTGATAATTATGGTGAGTAACACCACTAGCGTTTGAATAGTTACGAGAGTTGGTAACGGAAGCGTTATTTGTAGTCACATTACTGGGAGTCGAATTTTGAACGTTAGTAATATTATTTGTAGCCGGTAGGGTGGCAGACAATGTCGAATTAAAATAAGGCGAAGACTGTAAAGGTATATTTGACGTAGTCGTGGGTGGAATTGCAAAATAATTTGCAGATGGTTCAACAAAAGGTGGGGTTGCAGGAGAC